GAAAATTCCATTAACATCATAACTTAGAAGGAAAATACCACTTTAGTAAAACGTTTTTACAATAAACTGTAAAAGGCAACCCTAGGGAACTAGTCCAAACAGGAACAAGACCTACTAAGAGAGCATAGTTTATACACAAAAATGAGACACCGCTCTCTCCATACAAAAAGAAAAAGTGAAAGTTGTTGTAAATCATCATTGTCTTCACCTATTAAATATCACTGACTTTGCAAGCATACTATATCAAGTAGCATATCAAGAGTAGTATCAGTACAAACAACACAAACGGGTAAGCACCATCAGTTAACCCAAACCTATCACATAATATAATGTATATATTGCATAATCATAAATAACCATGCAATAAGAAAGCTACACCACCCCATTTCTCTGTTCACATACTATTACCCTTTCCGAATAAATGTTATAACTAATGCACCTTGATCTCATTCCTCTCAATAACACCATCATGACGCCAAAGCATAGCTTAACCTTTCTATCATATTAGTATCCATGAATATCAGGTCATCACTAGCCTTATCCACTTCCTTTTATCCTTTCTCCATTTCTCATGCCAACTCATTGCCCCTTCAGAAAAGTACATAAAACTAGTGCCTTAAACCAATTCATCCTACCAATTAACCCAAAAGCATTTATATAATAAAGTTAATGATAAATAAAATATAGTTTAGAAACAACTAAATATTGAGCCCTCATAAACTTACTCTCATAGTTATAACAATTATGCAAAAAAACACCCTTAGGAATTAACTCAATTCATCCTACCAATTAACCCAAAAGCATTTATATACTAAAGTTCATGATAAATAAAGTTTAGAAACAACTAAATATTGAGCCCTCATAAACTTACTCTCATAGTTATAACAATTATGCAAAAAAACACCCTAGGAATTAAGTTTGTCAATTAACAAATAACATAGCTCAATCATCACAAGCAACCCACAGCCTAGACTCCGAGTAATCGAGAAAACTCAAGGATCTAGCATGCAGCAATTGCATCATGAAGAAGTAAATCAGGTTCACTCATGGAACCATAAACACATACTTGGTCATGTCATGGAATTCAAACTCAAACTGTTAGTGTACTGGTGTGGTACTTTAGCCATCAGTTGTTAGTGTACCAGTGTAGTACCTAGGTCGACCATATTTGGATATCTCTGTACCATGCATATTACGTGATCCAAGCATTAGTATATATATCAGGTAGGGTTGTCAAATGGTAGGGTTGATTAAAATTAAAAATGTTAGAATGGGTTGAATAGAAATTGGGTTGGGTCTTGACCCGCCCAAGTTTACTTTGGGCTCAAATGGGATATAACACGGGTTGGGTCTTGACTCGATTGATCTCAATAATTTAACATATTGATATTTAACTTTTATAATCACAATTTGAATTTTCTCTCAAGAATTTTTTGTTAAAAGGTAACAAATAAATAGATAAATCCTAAAAGATGTTAAATAGACAATAATTCATACCTTCAATAGGAAAAATATCTTAATAAAAAGTTTTAAAACGAGTTGAAATTGGAATTTGAATTGGGCACAATTGAGAATTCTCTACAAATGGGTTAAGCTTGAATGAGTAGAGATTGATCTCAATTCAAATTATCTTGAGTCCAACCCTTAAAATTCTGGACGGGTTGGGCGGGTTACCTATGTTTGGGTTCATTTTTGACACCCCTAATATCAAGCATGGTACCTAAATCAATTATTAATATATATCAGACGTGGTGCCTAAGACAACCAATCATGTGTGATATCTGAGCCAACCACTGGTATATCTTATACCAAGTGTGGTACTGTTACACACTAAAAATTTCTAAGTTAAGACCAGATTTATTCTTCATTTATATATTAGGTCGTGTCAAGTGATTCTTAATTGTTCATAGATGCTAAGGTCAATTCTTTAGCGTAAGAATGATTCTTAATATCGATTAAGGTCACTAGAGTCTCCAAGCATACAAAAGAGATCTTGAATGGAACTTCTTTTATCCATAACTTTTCTATGTCTTTAACTGTCTTTCTTGTTCCTTAAAAAGTCCCAAACTTTTTTTACTGTGAATTTTCCATTACTGATTTTAGTCCACTAAGCATTATCAACTTCATTAGTGAGATAAGCATAATGCAAATTCCCCTGAACATGGTCCACCACACATTCAAGCACAAAATCTCTCATTACTGTATAGTCACATCCCTCCTCTCCAAATTCAACAGTATCTTTCATGGGATAACAAGTTTGCAGATTTGAAACATGTATATGTTGGGACCCAAGTAAAACCAATTAACGGCTTATAGATATGGGGTGAATTATTCAATTTTTTATTGGATAAATTGTTAAACGGTTAAGAATTATCGTAGCTAAATTTGTATACTAGGTGTATTAACTTCATTTAATCTTTTACAATAATGTAAAAGAGTAATTATATATTTTTCTTTTTTTACTCCTAACTCCTAAAGGCTAAAGACATAAAATCATTAGAACCTATTTATGTTTCTATAATTATCTATTTTGCTTTAAAGAATAAAGTGTGAATCACCAAACTCAAAAGTATACTGAGGATATATACATAAAAAGTATGCAACAATTTATCGATTGATCGACAAAAATGCTTCAACTAGACGATGAAAATGTGAGAACCAGTTGAAATTCTAGATCAATTTATTCATTTTATCTTATTATTCATTTTTTATTCAACCTCAAATAAAAAAGAAAAAAAATTGTGAAGTGGAACATTCATGCAAGTGCTGCTTAATTTCTACTTTCTAACATATACTATGTACACTCTAAAAAAAACCATAAACAAATCTCCTAACTGAAATTAAATTATTGATACAATGAATAAGCAAATTCAAAATGCATCAACAATAATTATCTGCTCGTTGTTGCTATTGATTAATACTGAAATTGGTAATTTTTACCGATTTGTCGATGGAGCACAACGGACGATTCAAGTTTCCGATGATCTAGACGACGTTGTTGACGATGAAGAGGACGAGGCTTGGAGAGAATGGGGAAGGAAGAAATCGACTAGCTCCGATTTCGATCCGCCGCCGACGGATTTTGATACGATGAGTCCGTCGGAAATTCAAGCGGAAATGATGAAGCGGCAGCTGGGTCCGGTTTTTGGGTTTGTTAAACTCCGACTTGGAACTCGTCGGACTCAGGTATCTCTTCCTTCACCTTTTTTAGTGTAGATTCTTATTAATGTGATGAGTAGTGACTCGCTAAAATTTATTTTCCTAACTAATAGCATTGAATCTAGTGAAATAGTTGTCTTGCTGAAAGAGTAATCTACCATTTGCACTTCCAATTTCAAGCTAGTTATACCCATTTTGCAGTGGTAGATTTATATGTGAAATTTTCTGAAATATATGGTGTTTTGAACCCACATTTACATTGAATTTTGAAATACTACTATAAGATTAAATGTTGTATCCGCCTCTAGTCATTTGGATCTATTCAGGTTATAAGTAGAATGAGAAAATTAGTTGACAAACTGGAGAATGTGGTAAGATCTGAAAAACTCTTTTCTGTGAAGTTTCAGGTCTGGGGTGGATGCAATTTGTTGGTTCTGGGTTCATATGAACCTAGTACTTTCGATGTGGAGTATAAATTTATACATATGAACTCATAACCTTTAAAAAGATTTGTCCAATTTAGAGATTCTAAAGAGTAAAGATGGAACTCAATAGGCTTAAATCCGTGTTCCGCCTTTGAGAAAAGATAATCTGTATTAAAAGGCGATTTTAGTATTACAATGAAGTGAACCTAGATAGAAGGGAATAAATGTAGAGGATTACTAAAGCTGACCTCAATTGATTTGGATTGAACCATAGTTGACTGAATGGAAGAGTGTATAGAGTTTGCAAAGGAGGCTTGGGCAGGATTGCAAAGTAAATTGTATGGTATTATTAACTGAGATTACTTGTTTACAGGAGAAAGTTACTGAAATAGCGATGAGATGGACCAAACTAGCAAGAACTGGAGCAATCGAGGCAAAGTTCATGAGTGTTGATGTGAGCACAATCATGTTTACTATGGAGAAAGGTCAAGACTCTATCGAGGTTTGTCTTACTTCCAAAATATGATGTTTTATTCTATAAGTACTAGCTTTACCTATTGATCCTTGAAACAAAGAGTTGAATATCAGAACACTTTGTATAAAGGTTGTTGTGTTTCACCACCTCCCATATATCCTTCACAGTCAATTAAGGTTGTTATTGCAAAGCCACAACTAAGGTGCACAGACCTTACCGTCTAAGCTGTTGATACTTTCGTTTCACTGGGTCCATGTTTGAGACAGCAAGGCAGTCGGTACACCATTCATATCAAGGCTCTGGTTTTGCTCTAAACTTTTAGCCTTCCAAATGCACCTTTTATCGATGGTTCTTTTTCATCCTTTGGGACGATATGTTAGTTGGTATTTGATAGAATCACAAGTTCTGTACTAGAAAATTGAGATTTTATTACTTTATTTTGCAGTTGAAAGAGTTTTTGTTGGACCAACCAGAAGCATATGAGATTAAAGTAGGGGACCAACTATTTCGAAGACCAGGAGATCCTCCTTTTGAAGAAGTATTTGAGAAGATTCAGAGGGAGAAAAGCAAAGTCGATCATACCAGCTCAAAGAAGAATAGGCATCATGAGTTGTAATCACCACAAAAAAACTCTTGACAACTAATTTCGATCACCTATAACAAGTATTATCAGGAGGGCAGGTGTAAATGGCTGGCATCTTACATGTTCTTTTTTCGACACACACTTGACACTCTGTGCTTACAGGCTATGCATCCAAATAATCAGTTAATTCTTCTAACATTATATCATTGAACATCTTGTGTTGGGAAACATCTCTGTCTGAGTAATGGCACTTATAAGGGAATGATTTTGTCTATATGTTTCTACATGTCTTTCACCAATTATGATTTACGAATGGAGCTAAGGGACTATCAACCTTGTAGAAGAAGACAATTGATATCCTCCATAATGTCCTAAAAACTGGATTTGTTAGATGGTTATAAAATTATTTTAATTCAAACATAATATAAACCATCCCACAAACTAGATTGTGTATAAATCCATAAAAAAATGCCAAGTTAAGTGAAAGAATACAGTTTCATTTCAGCTTATTGCTGAAGTCAGAGAGCTCGAGAACACGAATTCTGGAAATGCCAGCAGCTTCCTCCCTCTCCTTTTGAGTATTGTAACCCCAGTCCCCTGCTTCAAGAAATTAGATTAGCAATCACTACAACATTGCAAATCTATAAGAAGCAAAGTGAGTATGATAAATCACCTAGATACAAGTTCCATCCATCCAACTCGGACTCTTTAATCACATTCTTTAAAGTAGCAAGCCGGTCTTCCACAAAGCTGAGCAATATTCAGAAAAAGTAGACACTTAATTTCACGCGGTAGAAGCAAAATGGCTTTTCAAAAGAAGTTTGAGTAGTCCTTATGCTATAAAATCTTACTGTAGTTTCAGACCCTGGTGTTCCGGCATTTCCTGAAGTTGCTTAAGCACTTTTACTTTAGGTCTGATTAAAAAGAAGTTTCACTTGAGCACGAGTATGAGCTTAAATAAGTAAACACTAATTGACCATGTCTCTTGATATTGCAGTTAGCTTAATCACACTTCGTGTGAAGTAAACTCACCCAGTGCCGAGACCATAGATCCTTTCAGCTGGAATAGTTATCCCAGCAATCCCTTTAAGTAATGCATCTGCAAAGCGGCTCTACAAATGGCAGCGGAGTACAAATATAAGATTCAACGGCTTTAACTCAAGGCTCTTAAGATTCCAATTCCACTTTCATCAAGAACAAGCTAAAGTTTTGAAAAACAAAACATCACTTGTACGCGTGGTGAATATTTCAGGATAAATTAGTTCTAAAGATTTTATCTTTAGGTGAATGTGCACATTCTAACAAACCTGCTTCGTAGTGACTATATAAAGCTTTGAACTTGCAAATTTCAGTGCATCAGGAACTCCAGGATAAAACCTGTAGAGAAAGCATAAGCTTTTTAGCATTTTTCAACACAGTATATTCTTTGACGTGATTGAGTACTATCTTTAAACAGAGGTGAATTTATTGTGCAATTTATGAAGCATGTGAACTCAGTCTTTCCGCAAAATTATTGTCTTGAATCAATCTAATATTACCTGTTGGCACCCATGCTATTAAAGAGATTAGTGAAGCACTTGGTTTTACCTAGAAGAACAAGGATCAAATTCCCACTTTGATTAATTTTTTTCTGTTGTCTTTAGTATGCACTCAAGTTCTTGAAATCTTAGATATGCCTCTGACCGTAAAAAACTAGGAGATTCTAGAGAATGACACTAAGATGAGCACCGACCAACTTATAGGTTGTCGTACTACTCGGAGTCTTAAAACCTTATCAAACTAGGAAACTGACAAGCAGATAGATTTAGCTTGTTTTGGAGTACATCATTCGGTATAGGTAGTCTATAGAGTTTGTATCTCTGTTTTTCTTTAAGTTGGTTCAGTGATTATACATTAGCCAGAGATTAGAGCTAGTCAGGACCCTCAAGTGGTTGATTTGATCACACAGGCATAATCAACAGCTACACTTACCTGTTTGCACCTATCCAAGTAGCCAAATCATTGTCCATCCATTCATCTCTAACCTTACCGAAAAGATCTATAAGGAAGTCTCTGTCTTCATTCCATTCTGCCATTATAATGGGTTTAATCTTTGACCAGTTCTCAAGTATTCCCTCAACTGTTAGTCCCTCTGCAACCTATCACATTAAGAAAGATATCACCTCGACGAAGTTTATGATACATCCTGAATAGATTTGTGTCATCATATCCAAGACACTTTTATTTTTTTTGTGTACCCACCGAAGACTTGCGAATAGAAGGGATTATCGACTCCAGGAGCAACCTCACAAGTAAGAGATTTTCATATCCAGTTTCCACTACAGGTCTAACCTGCAGAAAGTTTGAAGGTTGATCACTTTCTGCAACAACAACAACAACAACATACCCCATATATTCCCGCAAGTGGAGTCTAGGTAGGGTGAGTGTACACAAATCTAGAAGCCAACGTCTAGGTTCAACATAGGTTTAGTTCAAACTCAATATTTCTATTAAGAAAATTCACTAAATAAGTACAAAAAAAACCCAGTTACTAATACCTAATACCATCCTAGAATTTAGAACTCATAAAGTTCAAATCTCGGTTCCACCTCTGACTAGCCTAGTTCAACCCCAATATGCTGAGATTATTTAATGAATCACTTACGCAGCGACATTGAACTCGATATGTGCATTCCAACACCCACAACCTTTATAGTAGTGACTTATCTCATGAGAAAAGACTTTGTTTTCTTTCAAAGAAGCATAATTAACAAAACCTATATAACATATATAAACATTCTACACTAAATTAGGGGCAAAAGCTTGTCCAAAACCACCACTACCATAAATGTATCTCCTTCACATATACAAATTTTCTTTCACTATTTCACCTTTAATTTTACTTTCTAAGGAAATGAACAAAGAAAGATATAATACTTAGAGAAGATAAAACAAAAATAAAGAACTTTACCACATGCATCTGATCTACAATCCAATCTTCCAAAGAAGAGTCCACCCCATTGAAAAGACTAGGCCATCTCACTTTAGCAGCCTGAAAAACCAACAATTTTTTTTCAAAAAACAAATTGAAAATTGGGAACCAAAAAGGGGCAAGTAAAGTAATGACCTTAAGAGCAGAAAGAGAGCTTTCTCCACAACTATCGCAGAGAACTCCATCAAAATCCAAGGCATACAAATCCCCCATTTTTGTGCCAGTTATTGGCTCTCAGGATGTAAAATGGAGGGTTCAATACCCGCCAATCAAATTTGATCAAATACCTTTTGACTCAAAATTGACAGCTGATTTCTTGTAAGATCATTGTGGGCCTCTTTGCCCTTGATCCGACCCGAATGATATGGCTAACCCGAATTAGGAATTAGGATGTATTGGTTAATTAATCTGAATTCATGCCGAGTAAAGTTTTATATCAAGTTAATCTCTATTAATTGTGACAACTTTAGGGCTGCATTTTGGTCTCTCTTTTTTTTAATTTCTAGTGATTTTGTACTCCTAAAATTATCGATATTAATACTATTTGAAAAGACGATAACGGAGAGTAAAGTTAATGGCTAAAATAGTTAAAATGATGCTTTTTGAATACTTGTTTGAAAGATTGAGAGTAAAGATAGAGATACAAGTTGTATAGATTCGTCTAGGCGAGAGAATATGGGATAGTTCATGATCTAAATCATGTGAAGTGTATCAAGAATAAGAATGACAGTTTTGATAAAAAAGAGGTACACATTCAAAAATAAGACATATTTTTTCATAAACATTTAAATGAAGAGGGGGGATGAGGATATTGCATGAAGAAATTAGAGCACTTTGAGAATCATAGAAAAATTGAATTTCGTAGATGAAAAAAAAACCTGCATATGGTTAGTGGTAGATCCATAAGATAAGGAGGGGCAAAGTCATTGAGCCACACGAGATTGTAGTGAAATTTTGAGAAAATATAAGCAAAATAGGTATGAAGTGGTTGACTAAATTGTCTGATATAATTATTAGGGCAACTAGAATATCAGAATAATGGAAATGAAGTACAATAATTTTGTTCTAAAAGAACAAGAGAAATATTCAAAATTGCAATAAATATGAGTGTCAAGCTATTAAAACACTCTATGAAAGTTTGGGAGAAAATGATAGAGGTAAGGTTGAGGAGGGGTGTGTGATCAACTTCGAGAATCAAATTTGAATTTATGTTTTAGTGATTGATTACAAAAGCAATTTACATTGTAAAAAGACAGTTGAAATAATGCAGTGATAGGATGAGAAATTCATAGTGTTTATTGACCTAGAATAACATATAATAAAGTTTTTAGGGAGGTTCTATGAAAATATTTGAAATTTAAAGATGTTCAGTGACTTACATTCTCACAATTCAGGAAATATATGATGGCTTCAAATTCCATATTAGAATAATCTGGAAACTCAAAAGATTTTTCGATCGAAATAAGATTGCACTAAGCTTCAAACTTAGCCTGTTTTTATTTGTCTTAGTAATGGATGAATAGTCATTGCATATCTAATGAGAAATGCCACTGTGTCTTTTATTCATAGATAACATAATATTGATTGACGAGATGCGGATGCATTAAAAAGTTAACGATAAGCTTAAAGTTTAGAGGAAGGCCCTAAAATTTAGAGATTTAAGGTTAAGCATGACAAAGATTGAGTACTTGAACGGCAAGTTCACATAGTGCAATGAGACGAAGTTGGAAGTGATAATCGATATACAAGCTATACTCATTAAAGAAATTTTTAAGTAGTTTGAGTCCATAATACAAGATAATGGGAAGATTGAGAAGGACATCATGCATCGTATTGAAGTGGGTGGACGAAATGCAGACTCTTTATGAGGTTCTATATAATTAACGTCTATCACCAATACTTAAAGGGTGAGTTCTACTACGTAATAGTGAGATGTACTTTGCTATATTGGACAAGGTGTTAACCTGTCGAGAATGCATGTGTTCCGAAGATAAAGTTGTACGGGATAAGGTAAGAGTGATCTACCAAGAGGACAATATTAGGCTAGCAATTATACGAGGCATATAAAGAAATATGTGTAGATGTAATCAAGGAGGTATGAGAGGTTGATATTAGTTAGACAAGACGCTTTCATATCTTTTGTGAAAGATATGATTCAGAAAAAAAATAGGGATCCAAATTTATTGAGAAAAGAAAGAAAATCAATTATATCCACCAAACAAAGAAAAGTACGATTAGAAGCATGTTATAATTATTTATATAAGATAAAATTAGCCAATACATTTGATCATATCTAATGACTAATTTAAAACTTGGAGGGTAATGAAAATTACCTAAGAAAAAAATTAAACGATACACGTAGCCAAGCTATACAATGATGTGTGAGAGGTTATGAAGATATGATGATACCCTGAAGATTAGCGTGTTAAAAATGAATTCAAATATAGGTAATTTGTTAAATTTATTTAAAATTTTAAGTGTTGGTTAAGATAATTTAAATTGGCCTCAATCTCAATTCTTTCAAGTCTAATCAATTTTAAGAGAATCGTTAATTGAGCTCAATTCAATCTCTAATTTCAACCCGTTTTAAAACTCTTTATTAGGATATTTTCTTATACTGAAGATATGAATTAGTCTATTTAATATCTTTAGGATCTATCTATCTAATTGTTGTTTTTATACAAAAATCTTGATTTGATTTTTAAATTGTGAATATAAAAGTTAAATATCACAATGTAAAAATAATTGAGATCAAACGGATCAAATTGGGTGGATCAAGGCCCAATTTGTTTTTAACCCATTTAAGTCCAAAGTAAATTTGAGTGGATCGAAATTCAACTTAATTTCTGTTCCAATCCATTTTAATATCTCTAATTTTAATTTAACCTGTGTTTTTTTGACTCTTGTGAAGACTAATGATACAATTTATTCGGCGAGAATAATACCAAACAAAAATTTGGAACGCTTGGAGAAACAGTCAGCAATCAAAATTAGCAATATTATTTATTATTTATTATTTACTTATAATAAACCAAAAGAGGTTAAATTCTTGACCATCAAATTCTAATACAACATACTTATATTTCTTTCTAGCGTTATTAATATTTGTTCATAAGCTTTAAACATTTATAAAGTTTTTCTAAAGATATCTTAATAAAGAGTATAGCTGGAATTAGAGCGGTCGATATAGATTCATGACTCGTTCCATTCGATAGCTCATACAAATTTTACTGGGCTATTTCACTTTTTTCATAAAAAATAATAAAAGTTTGATAATTTAAATTTTAAAATATCGACATAAATTTTGTCAAAACAGTATTGATATGATGTTATTATTTGTTAATCAAGTTTCAAAACCATCAATAAAATAATTTTAACAATACTTATTAAGTTTGACTTCAAGTAACGATTTGATTGGATGACTTCAGTATGAAATTATTATCATTTCATATAAATATCTTCGGTATAACTGTACAACAACATCAACATATTCAATGAAATTTCAATAATTAAGATCTACGGATGGTAAAATATATATAGATCTTACAATTATATTGTGAAGATAGAGAAATTATTTGCTCAAAACTTTCAACTCAAGTGCATCATTCAAAGTAAAAGAAGAAAGAAGAAGAAGCATGATGCGGAAAAATAATTATTTTTATATTTGAGTGTTTGAACTTTATAATATTTATTGCATGCAGGTTTGTGAGTTTTAAGTTTGGACTTCTCTTATTTTTCGTAGTATTCTAATTTATTTTAATTTAATATTTTAAAATTAAAAAGGAAAATGTACAAGTATCTTCTTAATTTGTGTTCGAAATCCCACAGACACATTTGTACTATACTAAGGTCCTATTATCCCTGAACTTATTTTATAAGTATTTTCTACCCTTTTTCGGCATACGTGTCACTAGCTTGAAGAAAAAAGTCAACTAACATTGGATCCACAAGATAGTATCATGAAGGCCGAAAAGTGGTAGAAAATTATTAATAAAATAAGTTCAGCGGTAATATGACCTTAGTATAGTATAAGTGTGTGTCTGAGAGGTTGAGGGGTACTTCAGCATTATCCCAAACTAAAATTAGATATTAAAAAATTACATATAAAAATTAAATTTTTGTATTACATCACTGTATGTGTCTAAAATTTCAATCTTGAAATACAATAAACAGAAAAGGAAAAAATAGCAAGCAAACAATAATATTTGAATTTGAATTAATGCGAAGGTTATAATTTTTTATAAAATCTCTAATAAAAGATGTAATCCTCTAATTTTTCTCTTCATGAATGTTCTTGATTTGGCGGAATACCTGCGGCTCAACATTTGAAGCGAAGACTTCTTTGTATGAGACAGACTCAACACTTGGAGCGAAACTTTTTTGTATGAGACTTCTTGGAGCGATTTCTTTGTATGCGGAAGAATTGCAGATACCACTTAAGAACAATTATGTATTTCTGTGTGTATGTATTTTATATGTATTTTGGTCAGAAGAAGACCTCTTTATATAGGTTAGGGTATTTTGGTACAAGCAATTTTGACCCCTGGGCCTGTAGAACATGAGTTGATTTATCTTGTCAACTTAATGAACTGACCCAAGTGATTTGGGCTTGCTTTAAGTCATACAATTTTGATTTAGATATTAATATGACTTTATCAATCAATAATTTGACTTAGTCAAGATATGATGAGTTTAAGATTTAACCCAAATTTAATATGAATTTATCAATAAAACTTCAACATCTACAATAATCATATACTTTTAAATATTTTTCAATAACAATTATAACATATCTAGTGTAGTCTCATTCAGTTACATTAGAAAAGGTTGTATATTTACATACCTTAAACCTACCTCAATATTTTAAAATATATACTTTGAAATGCAAAACGTCATATAATTTTTTATCACAAAATGATTAAAAAAGTTATTTCAAGTTATTTATTCAATTCTAACTCAAACACAAAATTTAATTTTTTTTTTTGAACTTTCTGATCATAAACTAAAAAAAATACTATATAAAATATATCAGAATATGATATAATCTTGGGATTATAAATATGTTGTAGAAAAGTAAAAAAAATTAATATTTTTTATTTTTTTTTTAAAAAAAGAATTTATGCGTGCTGCACGCTGGATGCTTCTCTCCTCACGCAAGTAATCAAAAAAGAAAAGAAAAGAAAATAGCGACCCGAAAGACCGGACCCACAGATTTTGTCCAAATTAAGCAAACCAAACGGCGCCGTTCTTTTGAAACAATTACCGGCTATCCCGGTAGCCTCTTCTTCGCCCAAAAATTGTTTCACTATAATCATTCTCTTCGCTCGTTTCTCGAGACAGTTTCTAAATTTTTTCTCACAGTAGCAGCATAGTCTATCTTCATCTCTATCTGCTTATTATCACCTCTGTAAGTATTCCAATTCGAATTCCATTTCTTTGTTTTTTTTTATTGTTTGATTTTTTTTCTTATGGTTTGTTGATTGGGTTATATGATCATTGACATTTATTCAGTTACTCTGCATTTCTATTGGATATGGTTTTGGATCTCTTTGCATGTGATGATTGAGCAAATTGAATGTTTACAACTTTGTCTACCTGTTTTTCATAGATATGAATTGATGGTAAACAGTTAGAAATACCGGATTCATCTGAACTTTTTTTTTCTTCTAAAATTTGGGGTTGGAAGGGGGGATTACAAGTTGGGGGAATCAAACTCTCGTCAACAAGTGAAAATTCAAGTAGTCAACTAAATGAGATATTGATATCCCCGGTTCATTTGAATCCGGTGTTTTCGATGCTGATTATAAATTTATATTTAAGAATCCCTAAAATTGTACTCCCTCAGTCAATTTTATTTGTCGCTGTGTTTTTAGAAAGTCAATTTGACTAGTTTTCAAAGTTAAATTATATTATATTAATTTAATATTTTAAATAAAAAATTTAAATATTTAAAAATTATATGAAAAGTACTATAACTAGCAATTTTTTGCATATTAATGTTGGTCAAAGTTTTTATAATTTGACTCTAAAAATAGATAACAAATACTAATAGATATGAACACATGACTTTAAAAATACAATGACTTCAATGTTAAAAATAACTCAAAATTTGAACATATATGTGTTAAATTGTGCGTCTGCCTATAAAAAGGGCACATTTTTATTGGCTTAATTATAGTCTTTGATCTTTATGTTTTAATGTGTTTGTGTTGCTTTTCTTTTTAGTTCTAAGAGATGTTTTCCTTTTTCATAATTTTTTAGTTTTAACTTTCCACGTGTTATTTTAAAACCACAAGATTAAAGGACATTTTAATACATTTTACATACCTCTAATGTAAGAAACTAAGAATCAAAATCTTTTTTACCTTCACAAACTCTGTGTCCAATCAAAATCATATACGAGCAATGGACAGCCAGGAATTCTAATAGGGATTCAGAAAAATCTTTAAATTGATATGTCTAGAAGCTTACCTGTTAAGAAGGAATTAACAGTTTATATATATGTACCATAAATAGATAATTTTTACCCTACTTCAGTGGCAGATTATGTACAAGAAAGGGGTTTGAATCTCCTTTTATACTAAACATATAGAATAATATGAATTTTTTGGTTATATGCTGTTGAATCCCCTTGATATGAAGAACAGTCTTTCTTAGTGGTAAAGAGGGTCCAAAAGTTGTTGTAGGTCATAACTTTATATCGCAATTATGACATTCTAGAATGTTTATCATTTCATGGCTCCACCACTATCTACTTTGCATAGTATAATTTCGGATTTTAGGGATTCAATTTAACCCCTTCCTTACCTTTAGCTTGGCCAGCGGTGGCGAGACCTGAACATGGTATCATATTGTAATACCATCTTGAAGCATGTGACCACTTTATTTAAAGCTAATTGGTGTAGAAGTTTTGGTTTAGAGGTATAAATATGTTTCTTTTTAGCAGGGCAAAGTATTTTCCTTGAAAGTTAAAACTTCAGGTTTTGAAATTTGTCGACTTGCTAGGTAAAGCACCAATTGATGTTAAACTAGTGACTGTATATATAGGTGTAAATTTCAAATGTGAAGTCCTGGAAGTTCTTTTTAAACCTTCTCTTTTTTATGTTTCTTGGATAGATTTGATTTTTGAATGTGGTCTCATGCTTTATTAGCTCCTAAGCTCTAATCTCTTATTCTTTTTTGTTTCCCCTCTATTTCTCTCACATGAATGTGAATGTTATCGAGTTTTGATTACAGAAAATGGAAAATAATGAGGAAGGGGAGGAAACAGCTCCTTCTAGAAATGAGTGGGAAGTCGTATCGCTCATACAGTCGGCATATGCTGCTGCCCCTAATTCAAGACAGGTTGATCTTGTTGACGATAGTAGTGCAGAGTTTGTAGCTGAAACTTCTGATCCAATGATTATGTCGGGGCACTTTGGCTTTCCACCGAATCAACATGAGAATGCGCCATTGCAACCATCTAATGATGAGATTCTGAATGAGCAGGGAAGTGAAGATGCTACTCCTGAATTTGTTGCTGACAAAGGGGTTGATTCAGATGCAGATGAAGTGAGTACAAAAACTAAAGGATTGAGCACAACGGAATTTCTCGGAGATCAAATGTTTGATGAAAAGGTTAGCCTTTTATCCTTAAGTGGTGCAGAATTTGAAGAAGATGTAGTCTTGCAGGGGTCAAGTTTTGTGGACAAAGAGCAGAATTTCTTTAGTTCTACTACGTTTAGTTCTTTCAATAGTGAAGAACCCATGAATGTGTCAGCATCAACAGAGGAAAGTAATATGCTTGCAGAACCAGTTGAACTCGTTCACCGGGTTATTGATTCTGGCATATCTAATTTGCCAAAGGCTAAAGCTGAAGATAATGATGATGCAGAAAATCTTCCTTGTCAAGCCTGGTGGAAAAGGCGAGCTGTTTCACTTCTTGCCCACGCAAAAGATGCCAACACATTCTGGTCCATTTTCATTGCTGCAGCTGTTATGGGCCTCGTGGTTATTGGTCAGAGATGGCGCCTAGAAAGGTGGCAGATATTGCAAATGAAGTGGCAGTTTGGAGGCCACGATGAGGTATTTATTACAGTTCTACTTGAAAATAGTTCAAACTGGTGTCTTCACTGAGTTGATCATGTTTTACTTTGGGTCTAACATTGTTAGTGTGCTTTAACCAATCAGCTAAGTAGATGATGAAGTGATTAATTAAGAAACTTCTGCTGTAATTCTTTTGATTATTACCTCCCGGAGAAAGAGGTGATTTACACCATTTACATAAATCCTTTTCTTCTTTATGTCCAGCTTCCATGTCATTCATTTCAAATAATAGTGACCCATGAGATATTTGCAGACGCCATATAATAGAATACCTTTTCTACTCTTTCACCCTTTTGTTTCTTCCTAAGAGGTTCATCTTTTCTTTTACTGCATTAATCTGTTATTATTGAGAGATTCTTTCAATACCACTATGATTTTGTAATGCTATAATATTTGTTCTGCTTTCCCCGGAACAGTGCATATTTGTGTTCCCAGGATACGCGTGGATCTGTATTTTACTTGGTCAATCTTTTGAAATAACATCCTCTAGTATGGAGCACATATCTTTAGAGGTGGGATTGGGAATGGAATGAAATGAAATAAAGGAATTTCTTCACCGGCATATGAGTGGCCTTAGGCAGTGCAAGGGAGTATTAGATGATACAAAAGCGAGAGGCATTTAGGGTGAGTTTGTTTTTAGAGGGAATCGTCTAGAGATGGAATAGGAGGGAGATCGGCAGTAAGTGGGAGATACTAAGGCATCTAAGAAGGTAATTCACTTTACTTGGTGCACGTACGAGATGCAATGCTAACAGTAACTCGTGTAAAGAGTGTGAGATTATCCTACTACATGGCAAATTCACGGTCAACTTCATGAGTAGATTTTTCTTATTGAGCTTGTTTCCTGCGGTAAATCAGATAACCTGCGACTTGAAGTTCTTTCTTTGCAGCCTTAAGTTTTTAATTCTTAAGTTGGCTGAAGGAAGTCTAGTTTACTGTATTTCACATCTTTACTCTCTGTTTAGTTGCATCCTTGGATTCACCGATTTGTTTTCCTTGCATCGACAGATAATGAACAGGGCATTTGTTAGTCCCATATCCCGATTGAAAGAAGTGATAATTGGGAGTGGTCGTCGTGGTTCCTTTATTCGAGGGAATGCTTCAACACAACGGTAAGATGATGATGACGAAAACGAACTTGTCTGTGTGCAAGTCATAGCTTAGGTTTTCTTTCCAGTGTACCTAATATTATTTATGTTTAAACGATTGGATATGTTGTTATGATGGAGTTTAATCGTGGAATCTACAAGCAAGCATTTGAGGTAACATTACTGGTAAAAAAAAACAAGTAAATTTTGTCATTAGCAAGTGCTTTATCCCCAATGTGAGACTTCTTGGTGAATCCGAATTTACCTGAACTTTGAAGTGGATATCGGACGTTGAATGAAAAAACAAAAAAAAAAAAACTTCTGCACATATTCTGATTCAATTTTTAACTTGTTACTTTATTTACATATTTAATTCTTTTGTTTTAGGCAAAAGTCAAGCATTAGTACTCTTAAAATAGTTTTAGATTTATCAGTACATCTTTAATTATCAGATGAATGAACTAAATTATTCGTATAAGTACCTATGTGAGTTAAAGGAATTTTGTTTTCATAGTTATATTATATCATAGATGATGTTGATAGAGTAATATTTATCAGAATAGTCAATTGAAAAATACTGTACTCTAAAATTAATATTTTCCAGCCCACCAAATATTATCAAGTTTTACAAGTATTGATGCAGAACATTTTAGGTGTGATTTAACATTAAAACATTCAGACCGTATTTAATATATTATTAACAAAAAAAATTATGTATTATTTTTTAAGAAAAATATTTATTTAAAATTTGGGACAATTCGAGAAAGAAGCATTTAAATATTCATACATTAGATTTTGTTGATATTTAGATTTAGGCTCAACTATTGCAATACTGCATTAACTTATCAAATAAAACTAAATTTTACATGTATTGCCAAACTCAGAATTTGAAGATTTCGAGTGTAACAATATTACGTTATCTCAAATATGAGTTCTAAGCTGAACTTAAAATAAAATAAATGAAACAAGGCTTTAGTTGAATTTAACCTTTGATCGTAACGTGATTACTCTATCTTATACCAACAACACAATGACATTTCTATGCTTTTCATAGGTACACCATCAACTATATTATAATTTCTATTAATTTTTTAAAATAGATATACATATAATTTTTTTCGAAGTTAGCCTCTGATTGGATAAAAAAATATATTTGATATAACATGTTATTATTTATCTAGAAAAGTACATTTGTTTAAAAGAATATTTTTGAAGTGGATTCATGAAAAATGAACTCATAGGTAAACTAATTGATACAGCCGGCATAAATTGAAGAATGATCAGTTGAACACTATTTATCAAAAAATTATGAAAATTAGTGTCCAAAAAAGAAACACTGATCCAGTAACAAGGATACAAAATCATTGGTATCATCAGCTGCCAAAAGTAAAACTGAACTCTATTTCTCAAACATAACTGACAAATAATTGAAGAAAAAACAACAAAACATAGAAATGTATAATTTAACCATGGTCTTGCACATACATTATCTTCACTTTTACATATGTTGTATAAAAACATATGATGATACTTGTTTCACTATAAAGTACTCTACACGGGCTGCCATATAATGAGGGATTTTACAGCTGCGCGTGAAGGCCTTGTAAACTGCAAGAGCTGTATAAACGTTATTGGATTTAACTTGTATACACTGACGCTGTTGACAATTTTCACAATGTTAAAAGGTGTAACCTGTCTTATTTTCTAGATTACTGATTCCACTTTACATTAAACGGTTACTTGTCAGTGTATAGAAGTTAAACTCAACTTTGCTGCAACTCTAGTCAACTGCATAACTGGTAAACTACATGCTCTATTTTTCACCTTGTGCTAGTCAGTCATTAACAGCCATTGTATTTGGGCAGTCGGGGTCGGGGAGAAGCCTAAGTTTAACCTATGACTTTGAGAACTCTAACCTCTTTCAGATTTCTAAACATATGTACCCTAACTTTGTATGTAGACAAATCAGAGCTATATGTGATTACAGAGAGAGTACGATATCGAATTACTCGGCCGGTTGAAGCTGGATATGCGGGCAAATCCTATATGGTTCTCCTCTTGTCCATAGATGCTTCAGCTCACCTCTTTTGGCTGACAACATCAAAAATGTGCCTGGAATTGACAATAACAGATCTCAGTGTACTTAATATATCGAGAACATAACAAGAATATGAAAGGATGAGATTTTAATGTCTTGAACAGTATAAAGAGGGCAGTCAAGTGCACAAAGCATTCTGCGTTACCAAGATCCAGAGAAGGGTCGCATCCCAAGTGGTCATATTTATATAGTCTACCCTGATGGAAGCATTAGTGGCTGCTTGCCTGCTTTCATGACTCAGAACTCATGACCTGAAGACCACACGGAGACAACTTTACCGTTGTACAAGGATTCCCTTCAAATGACTAGAACAGTAAAAAGGGAGACTTCAGCCTTCATACCCTTCAGGAGGCATGCAAGCACATGGACTGCCAAATCATGTCTATAGTATATCCTAAAATCTGAAACTGGACCCTCTTTCTTTCTTCTATTCTCTGCTATATAGCCAGATTCGTCAACATTTATCTCTTTCGATGCAACAAGATCTTATTTGTAACAAGTGGTTTTGATGGTTGGCTAATAGGTCACATACTCACTCTGAATCAACTTTAGGTATGCATTTTTAAAAATTTGTGATGGCAGGGGTTTCAGCATGAACTCTTTCCTACCCAAAAGGCAAATACAATGGAGAAGGGGGAGGAACCCCGGTCTCGGTACTTCAATTCATATTTCACAAAAAATATTAGGTTAACATTACCGCGACAGGACAAACAATAAGGATATGTCCATACCCTTCTCAAACCCTATCACTATGATCATCTCTCATTTGACAAAAGCCCCCAACCCAACCCCCTTGCCCAAAAACTTGAAAAACTGAAAAGAGAGAAAAAAGGAATGAAATCACCTACTCAGACAAAATATGTACTTGTTATTCATCGTTGACTAAAATTCCACACTCATGCTGCAATTAAATCAACACCACCATACTTACCTATTCTATTAACTGGCGCCGTCACCTATATCATATCCTTTCAGCACCTATAGGTTCTTTCTGCAAATGGGTGGCATGCCCAATCCTACATTTACCTAGACATATAGCTTCAATGGTTTTAACAGTTCGGCACTATCTGTCTGCACTATGATACCACTAAATCAAAGTTCAAATTGGTATTGGGTACTCCTGATTATATTTTTTTTTTCTGATAATAATGCCCTGACCAGCTTGTGCGCACCTCGACTATTCCACCTAAAACATGCTAGCCAACACAAATATCAAGTAACTCAGCCCACCAAGCATATGGGAAGAAATCACCTAGCGTTTTTGTCTCTGCTGGGATTTGAACCATGTTCTCCAAGGTTTCCACCCACTTCATTGACTGCCAGGCCACACACTTGGGTGTAGGACTCCTGATTATATCTTTCGGTGCATAGATATAACAGTTCCAATTTAAAATTGCTCTCTATGTCAGATTAAGAGGTCCATAAAGCATTTTCCTTCTCAACACCTGCCAGTAAATTTCATGGATATAAGACTGATGCCTAATTGGCTGATTTCCTCTTCCCGTGGAATCACAATTATATGTGGTGTAGACTCCACCTTCACTATCAGAATCTAAATATTGGCTGCTCCAAAATAATTTTTGTGACAGATGAGTGACTTTTTGTGCTTCCTAACGTACCTAATGTGGACGGAACTATATATAGCAAAGCAGGTTGACCATGGCCGTCCATCAAGTTCAGAGCCACATATGTTGCAAACAAACCTGTTCAAGAAAATTAAAGTCAAACAAGAACTTCGATTAATCCTAAATTTAGCAGAAATTGGTAACAGTTTCAAAGATGCAACACATCATGTATATCCAAACTTTTCAGTTGGTCACAGAAAGCATGTTAAACTTTTGATGAGATGAAAGGGTAGGTACCAAGCTCAAATGTAGATGTATAGTCCCCAAAAGAAAAAAGAACCTCAAACATTGAGAACATATAACCTTAAAATGTTTCATGAGCTCTAACATTTATCTGATCTAATTATCTTAACAGTAACAGGAATTGAGGTAAAAAAGAAGATAATGTGACTGCTATCCTTCACTTTTCAGGTAGCGTGAATTCTATGTAGCAATCCTTTGTTTTTATTAGACGAAGAAGATGAAGGGAATACTGGGAGCAGGGAAAGAGAGAAATGCAAACTGATGTATCTGTATTGACAAAGAGAAGATGGTATAACTTGGTTACAAGAAGAGCACTATGACAAGTGATTAAATCAAATCACATTTTTCTATGCAAGTTATACCTAAACCATAAGCAGTCATAGTCCATAGAAAATAACCGGCTCGAAGGCTCTTCTTGCACAGCCAGTCATATCTGCAACAAAGAGCAACAAGGAGGTAAATATCTGCAACAAAGAACATAATGTAACAAATAAAAACGAAGAAGTAAAAATCTTTTGATTGCCTTTATACTTCAAGTTGTAAGCATGAAGCGTTAATCATGATACCTCAACCCTTTTTGCTTTATTGATAAGTAGAAAAACCCCTATTTGGGAAGGCAACAACAACTACTACTAAGATTCAGTCCCAAACAAGAAATTAGGTACATCTTCTCTATAAACTATTACTTTCTTTCCCGCAAGCAAAAGTACTCTAGACAACCATAAAATATATAGCCCCCCAGAGGCATCAGCTGGGGTTACAGTCTTTCTGCTAATTGTGTAGACCAGGTGCATAAATCATGCCTTTTTTGCATATGAAAAATGTGGTGTAACAAAAAAAGCTGAAGCATTGAAAGACATAGGGATTTGTGGAAAACATCAATGATTTTAGTGCAACTGTGATTCAGCTCACTGACCAAATCTTAAAATGAAAGCTACTAGTAATCCACGTATTAGATACACGGGGCTTTATGGAACCATATTAATGGGTGAAACCAAGTTCCATTTAGCTAGTGATCGAACCTTAATGAAAATGCTACTAGTAATCCTGGTAAAATTATGTCGCCAAACCCAATGATGCTGTAGCCACCCCAGGGATCACATATTCGCGGGATTTTTAGTAACATGGGAATTCCTTCTTCTCCGCTTTTATAACCACGTGCAACCTGCATCGAAGACAACAACTTCTCATTTGTCAACACGAACACCCTTTTGTGACAGGCAGGGCTGAAAATAGTAAAATACCCAAGTGAACCTAAGATAGAGATCAGCGACCAAGTATGAGCTTACCTCTATCATCACACTCTTGTGAAACACCCATTTGGAAACAAATACCCAAAAAATGTCATAGAAGAAAGCACAAGTAAGAAGAACTGTTCCCACCTGATAATATCAAAGAAAAGAATAATATTAATCTCCTTTAATGGCTTCACTGCCAGTTCCTGTTAAAGTCAAACAATTTGAGTTTACACTTTAGAGGGGACATAAAAGCTAAGTTGCTTGGACTCTTCACTTTCAGTACCGCACCCATGTTGACACGATGTTGGCGTGGGCGTAGGGGTCCTAGCCGGATTTGGTCAACTGACAATAAAGTTTGGTATCCTGCAAGTTAGCTTTGCAAGCCTCCCTTGTGAATTCAAGGGATTAGGTTGAATATCTGTTTACTTAATCTTTAGGGGTCTCCAGATTGAATTACATTTGCAACAAACAAGCAAGGGGCTGGGTGCACATGATAAACGTCTCTAGCATGACAGGAGTGTTCAGTGAAAGGGGTTTCGTATCTACTTACTATAAACCATTGTATTCATTCATGTACGTATAAAAAGTTAGTCATAAGTGATTGACAACTTTTCTCCCCTCTCACCCCTTTTTTTTCCTCTGTTAGGGAAAAATACGAAAAATAGATATGTCACTCAACTCAAAGGCATTGTCAGTATTAGCTTTTTGAGGAGCATTTATCTACTCACAGTTGACATATAAAATTAGGGGCACCACATTAAAGAAGGAATTGCTAATCCAAAGTTAGAAGCCCCGAGGAGAGAAGGTGCGTCAAAAAATGATTTGCTTGTGGTCTAAATACCAGAAATAATAACTCACAAAATCCACCCCATAATGAGAAAATCCAGCACAAAGAATTGATTTACCTTGAGATTGGGAACTCGTATGATCTGAAGAACAGTGATGATCAATGCCATACCCTAGTTAAGAGAAAGAAAATAAGGTCATACATTTTTATTGATAAAGGTAAATTGGTCATTAATTGGAAGAGGCATACACCAAATAGACAATATTAAGCTGATAAGATCACATACTATACTTGATCTCAGACAAAAGACGGAGTGAGGTATACATGGTATATACAAATAATGCATGCTACATGAGAACATATTTATCCACAAACAACATCCAAGCCTTGACACGTTGGAGTCTGATGTGGGCTCCGAAGTGAACACAAAATAAAATGATTCCCCATATACATGAGAACTTTCAACTCCCTCACACGCTTTCTATTTTTCTCCTCCCAAACTGTCCACATGAGCACAAAGAAGGTCACCTCACATGCTTTTCTGCACCTGTTCTTCCTCCTGAATTTCTCTCCACGTAGACTAATGATTCGTGGCATTACCCACTTACGTATCTCATCCTGTGTTTCACAATCTAATTTTGAACTGGCAATGTAATGTGTAATGATAGGTGGTTCCCCCTTCTCTAGATGAAGAACTAGCAATGTAATGTGTACTATGACTTTTCACAAAAGAGAGATAAATAGGTGCCCGAGAACAAAGGTACTGTAATATAGGTGCTGAGGTTTACCCATATACTGATAATAAAAAAGGAGCAGATTTCCCTTTTTTCTCACACTAAATACTTTGAAGTACATGTGTACTCTTTCTCAAACATATCATGACTTCATGTTGACAAGATCAGAAGAGCTTCTTTTTCTTTTGAAGTACATAAAAAAAAGTTTATTCCTTCAACCGTATAAGTTGATATCACCATGACGAAATGTCAATTTTATACATGATCTACTAGCACATAAGACCAATATCACAACTTCTTGAATACCCAGTGATTAGACATCATTTCATGGAAAAACTTACATTAGAGCATCTCTCTAACCAGTAGGTAAAATCAGTCAGGTGAAACAGGGAAACAAAAGACAGTTTATTTGCATTATGTGAAGGTAGGAAGCTGGATTTAAAGATAAATACAAAAAATTACAAGGGAACAAGTGTAATATGATAATAGTTCTTACAAGTATGTCTTGACCTATCCAAGCAAAGGAGACATGACGGAAAACCGCCCACATAATAGCGAAAGCTAAGCAGAAAGGAGAAATTGCCAGAGTGAGATATGAAACGGGCCCCAGAAGTGGAACTTTAAGAAATGATTCTTGAGCATGTTCAAACCATCTGAAACTACAAATAATGACTGTTAGCCACATCTGACATGTCTGAGAACCAACTAATGAAATGACATTATGGTAATTAAAATGAAATTGCACCTTGCCTCAAGAATAAAATAACAGAAACCTAGTCACAATCATCATCTCAAACATTATTACGAATGATGACGAACTCTTAGAGCACCATCGTGAAAAGATAAGGAAAAGTTCAACTAAGGATAAAAAAAGGATATTAATCATTGTTCTGTGCTCGATAAAAAGAAGCCATAGTTTCCTCAAATCAATGGGATGAAGAATCCAGATGTAACTTTACTGTTCTATCCTGAAATGCTAGCCCTAACAAACATGAGAAGTGGGAAGAAATCAAACTAAAATGTTTAGCCTGATGAGAAATAGGAAACAAAGCCTATGATATGCCTTAACAATTTTGAGCACTCCACAGTCAAAGAGATATCTATATTTCTCCTTGAAGGGAATATTTTGCCTTCCACAAAAGCCTACTTCTTCCAGAAGCCAAATAATTCCAAGTAACTGAAATATCATACATCGCCAAGGAGGCCCTTAGAATTTTCAAAGGGGTTATTGTCCTAAACAGATTATACACTTTTCACTTCAAGAAGTCAAACTAGGTTTATTAGGACTTTATATACCTTTTAATATACTGAAATACAAAAGCGTCACATATCAACACCTTCTCAGTAGTCTGCTAATCCATATTTTGGTATCTTCGTTTACTAAGGGTGCTGTTTGGTTTTCTTAGCCATTCCACCAATAGTTAGTACTCCTTTCTGCCAATTTATGCGGGATACTTCCCATTTTAGCAAAAATACCTTTAAGTTAAACTTTACCTTTCCCAGGTTGCATTTAATGACATGATTTTGCAGCCACAGAAATGTCTATCAGATATTTTAAGCCACAAGTGTCAAAGTCTTTATATCTGTTTTGAACGCGGTAGCCAGTCAAATACCTTTCCAAAAATTAAAACGGAGCGAGTAATATTTTTTATGGTTCAATTAAGTCCAAAAATGGATGACTTTCTATTTGAACTAATACTAAAAAATGCAAGTTTAATGCCAGGATAATGGAAAAGGCTTTTAGAAATGCTAAGGTTTGAATCAAACTGAAAGATCTAATTTTCCAAACTTTTGCCTCACATTTGCGAGAACAATTTCTCGTCATTGTTCTATACCCATTATTTAATTGTCGCTGCTTTCAGATTTATTTTCCACATATTTTGATCTCAGCTTATGAGTTCATGCTATTATTGCACTGGAAGACATGAATGTGCATAGATCTGGCCCCAACAAAAGTCTGCAAGAGTGTCACAATGTATTTAACAAGCCACGAGGGCCCGCAATTATGGATCAATATCATCCACTGTGCTAGGATTACACATTTTTATTCAAAAAGCATAGAAGAGAGTAGGTCAATGGTTACACAAACAGAAAGACAGCTTTGAACATACTTGTAAGCATTGATGTTGCCAATTTGGATGTCTTATCAACACTTTAATAGATAGATCACTCCAAAACTCGAGAATCACCTTAAGGTCCCTGAACTCAAGGGAGAAGTTTAAAGAGGGTTAAAGGATGCGTAGGTTGATCCGAAACTTGCATAGGTTATTAGCTTGTACAGCTGCACATACCGGGGAATATATACTCCTTTCTGTACTAAATTTCCAAATAAAAAAGAAGTGCCACAGTGGAAACTTAAAACTAATGAGCACCTGCATCATTGAATGAGAGGGATTCGGTATTTATCCACTATCCACTACAATGGTTAATATAGAACGAAGAACGAAGAATGGAGGGGGCTGAATTAGCCAACCACCCAAGAAAAGGGGGAAATTTAAGTTTGGTCCCAATTCTACTCACAGTAATAAAATTTCTTGAAAATTCTCCTCTCACTCTGTTTCCTCTTCACCCTCCCTATTTTCCAAACAAACTGTTTGACACAATGTCACTAAAAAGATAACAACTTGTAACACCAGTAAAATAAACATACCATGATAACAAGGTCACCAAACAGGTTTGTAGACCCTGCAAGCACAATGAGGAATACTGTCAGCATGGAATTCATAAATTGTCACGTGGAGACAAGATGAGTTTATTCTGTTCATTTTGTTCATCTACTTCAAGTGCTTAACTATCCCTTGCTAGCAAGTTATTAGCTTCAGCTCAACTAATATTGAATCACCTACAGATGGAAGTTATTAAGATGTACAAAACGAAAATGTATTTAGTTGCTACCTTTATTGAGATTTATTAGTTGAATTAAAATTAATATACTGTATCCTTGGGTGTAGACTCCTCATAAAATACTGTTGAACTGTGTCATACATCTCATCGGGAAGCTTAAATTGAGAGAGAACACTATTAATTATTAATTAATTACTTTATATGTCTTCAATACACCCCCTCAAGTGCTGATATAACTCTATTTCTTTGCCTAGCACAGTAACAGGTCAATTTATTTTTTTTTTGATATTGGGGTGACAGTGAAACTATAACCCAGGAAAAGATTATGATGATGAACTATGTGACCATAAGAACCTTAGCTGATAAAGAAAATACATCATTAACTAATCACTTGATTATGTCTTTTATAGCTAAGAGACATACCTCTACACCGCCGATGCAAAATAGAACCACCAGAACCTCAATAAACCAGAAGGACATCAATTTGTAAAGCATAATCAAGAAGCAGGATGCAACCACCACGAACAGAAGTGCTGATATTGTGTTGATGTCTAATACACCACCAGAATGAGTTACCTCCTTGCCACCATAATCATCTGAGCCATCCTACAAGAGCAATATACATACTCAACCAAGTTTCAAGGAGAGGTGCAATGAGCATTTGCATATCTGAAAAATGCAATGACTCATTAACGGAAGGGGAAAAGTAATCGGGAATGACTATGACTTACTTTTAAGAACTTGTCCTGCTCGATTGCGGCTTCTCTAGCACTCCATGCAGACCAATAAGAAGCACATAAAATCGTAACAACTGACATAAGCCATAGAAACACTTCAGCTACATCAACCGCTGGACGTTTCGGAGAGTACATCTGCACAGAAACTGAGCAGAAGGGAAATCTGTAAGTCATAATTGTGGGAACAAATCCACATGATAGATTCCACATTAAATAATAGTGAAGAAGAATAAGGTAGCTGGCAAACCACCACAAGTAAGCATCTAACTAAATTTCCCTCCAACCACCCCCCCCCCCAATCCCACCCCACAAATGGACTAACAAGAAGTGAAATATAATAAGCCTACCTGTAGAACTGTTCCTGAGAAACTCTATCAGGCTTGTACCTGCATCTTGTGGCAGCATTACAGCAGGGATACCGATGTCCACATCAGATTCACCGGGATCACAAACCATCTTGAAGAGCTCTACAGAGAAATATGAGAAGAACACAAAATTATATTTAAACCCCCTTGGCCTGTGCATATCAAGAAACAATACTCGAGAAGTGTTTGCATTACAAGAACAAGAAATTCAGGTATTCATTTGTTTTTCCTAGGCATATTCTAATGAAGCTTAACGTATAGGCACCACGTTCAGTTGAATGTTATAATGCCTGCTATGTAGATTAAAGCAGTTTGCACAAGTACATATAAAGTTAAGAGCCTATATTCATATTAGAACAAGGGAAAAGAAAAAGGAAATTACAGAGGAAAATGTTGAAATAAAAGCAGCAAAACCTGTTTGATTGTTTATAATGATGATTGCTGAAGCACCAGCAGCTTCTGCAACTTTTGCTTTTGTGGTGAAACTGCAATTACCTCGGTGCACCAGGATGGCCTCACTGGTGAGCTATCACACAATCAAGACCTAAAAGGTGAGTTTGCTACTTATATGGCAACCAGTTGATGTCTCTGATAGAAGGAATCATGTTTGCAAAAAAGGCAAGATAAATGTGAGATCAACCTTATTCCTAGGCATGCTACAACAATCTGGTGGGTCTGCAAAAGCAAGCCTCGTCTGATTAGCACGCTTCTCCTTTGATTCCAATGTGGGGCCAAATCGAGCACCAAGGCCAACAAACTGAGTTACTTCATTCCCGTTAACCCACGTTGGAACTTTTACCTATTTGAGGAAACACTATATAAGAGATGGATGTTGTGACAAGTTGCAAATTTGAGAACAATAATTGAGGTACATTGGAGCCCTATACTGTTAACAAAACGCCAAACAACAAAACATAACTTCTATGCCAGCCATACCATGGAAGTATGTCAAATGAGCCAATACAGCACCGTCAGTAAGTTTTACAAACTACATGTATGACAAAACCATAGAATCAGGAGTATTCATCTCTATCTGTTCAATGATCGATAAACAATTATCATGACAAAACTGAAAAATTCACTTTTTATAAGTTTTAATCCATCAAGTTCATGGCTCTACACATGTTGTATTAAAAGAAGACTACTGAGGATGGCAAATTTCCAGTTCTACCCAATTGGAAGTCCTTCTGATTTGACCTAATAAACTGATGCCAAGGAGCAAGCTGGTGGTGGATGTAAGTAATCGAGCCTGCCTTTTCTGTTTGGAACGAGCCTGCCTTTTCTGTTTGGAAGGTTTATTCTTATTTTCTTAAAGAAATGACAGAAACACAACCTGATGAATTATTCACTCAAAATGCAAAAGAAAATGCACTGAAGAGTCATATCAACTAAAGATGCAAATTAAACTTTTGCTTCACATTTTCCTTCCATAAGTTCTGGGTTCCAAAAGCTGGCACCTGTGCAATTGACTACTGGCTAAAGTGGTTGGCTTAGAAGGATTAAGTGATATAAACAGGAACAAATAAAGCAAACAAGTAACACAAAGGGTGTGGCCTAGTGGTGAATGAAGTGGGATGAGCACTATGAGGTCTCAGGTCAGAGACAAAACACTCGGTGATTTCTTCTCATCTATTCTAGCCTTGGTGGACATTGTTACCTAGTACATGTTGCCGGTGGGAGGTGGCAGGTACCACGTGGAATTAGTCCAGGTGCGCCAAGCTGGCCCGGACACCACGATTATCAAAAAAAGAAAAAATAAACAAATAAGCAAACAAGTAGTGTCCTCTATAATGCAGAGGAATTGGAAAGGAAGATACAGCAGGTCTTTAAAAGAAATCCTCTGCTTGATGATTCGTTATCATGATATTTCTTAGATGTTTTGAGCGGTAAAGATATCATACACTCCCAAAATCCTGATTGGATGATCTTCAGGCCAGTATATTTGGGCATCACCTATCAATCTATAGTTGCCAAAATGGGTTCTACCCGATAAAACCTTCAATTCCTGGCCTGGATGCTTTTAAACTGATACTTTATCTACTGTTATTAAAATAAAGATAAACCAGAGGCAGTTGCCAAGTTGTATAATAAAGAACCTAATCTTCTTTTCTGCACGTTAACCATTTGAACTTCATTCTTCCAATTCACTTCGCATATCTTTTTCCTTTCAGACTGAAAATATGGCTCTCTTGGACCTAACTCAACCCTTAAAACCTATCTCATGAGGGGAGGAATGCCCATTCTTTCAACCAATGCGGGACTTAACATAGCCTAGCCCTTTCACTTGACCTTTTTCCTTAATGGAAAAGGTATTCATCTCCGAAATTCAAGCTCAAGCAATTAATCAAGACTTCTTTAGAGAAAAAATTGCAACTAATAAAGATTTATAGCCTCTCCATCCAAATTGGTAGGTTCACTTTCAACTTGGCACAATCATTCCGAATAGAAGAAATGTGAGCATATTTAAAATACTAATACTTATGTGGAACCAACTAACTATAGTCAAACATGAAACACGTGGATGCAAATTTAAAATTTCAGAATTTTCGAGGTTGATAAAGCATTGCATAGTGATGGTACCGTGAACTATCTGGTCTGCGTTATATTTCCTTGGGATTAAGGTCTTTACTTTTAACAAATATTGCAAATATTTTTTTTGAAAATGGTAATGGTGAAAAATATTGCAATTATTATGAATGGTTCAATGAAGAAAGGTGGAAATTCAATTTGAAATGGAAAGCTTTTCAATTCTTTTGTTTGCATGTAACATCTATGCAATTATTACCCTCAAATTACATGAACACCACATCCTAAAGCTTAAGGTATAGAGAGTTTGGAATTATCCATTTATTTATTTATTTTTAGAATTATAGCATTTCCCCTCATACGCAGCCTAATCCTCTTTTTTGGGGGGTTAAGCATATGAAACTATTTTCGTTGTTGGTCAAACTAGAATGTAGGACCGCCACCTTCTCTAATACAACAACTACAACATAGCGAGTGTAGTACACAAGTGGGGTCTAGGGAGGGTAGGATGTACGCAAACCTTACCCTTACCTTTGTAGGATATAGAGTATAGAGGTTGTTTCCGAGAGACCCTCAGCTTAAGAGAAAAGTTTTCACCGCCTTCTCTAATACCATGTGAAAATGTATGACCGCCTCATTTATTCCATGTATAGGGATAGAACACATTTATTAGTATGATTTTAGGTTTGCAACATCCGCTATTACTATCAACTCATTCTTTCTAACTCCACTATAAATCTCTACACCAAAAGACAAGTGGAGTAGAAATTGGGTGAGTAAATTTATCATCAGGATGCGTCGCGGATAAACTGCAAAATAAGCATTTAACATAATAACAACACAGCAAGCATACTCTACCGACTGAAAATTTAATACAGCAATAAATTACACAGAAAAATAGCAATGGAAAAATCCAAGCTGTAACACCTAACAGATAATTTCAGCTATAACATAGAACCAATTACATGTCATCATCGATCTCAAATCAAACCAAAAAGAAAAAGAGACCTAGAGAAATAGTATCCCCTCTTTCCAAATTGCCAAGCACCACTACTATTACATTCAAATTCTTATGAATGAGTTTACAATAATAAATTTATTTATTATTCTAATAATCGTGATATCTGTGCCAACTCTCACACGCCTAGGCTAATTTCACAACATACCTATCGCCTCCCACCAACAACAAGTAACAAGTACCAGGTAACTAATGTTTTGCTCATGCTAGGATTCGAACGTGAGACCTCATGGTACTCCAGGTTTACAATAAAACTGATCAGATATGTAAGTACTTTTTCATACTAATAAGCAACTTTCAATTCTACAACATCAATAAAATTAACCTTAGAATTCAAATTTAAAAACTAGATAAATTAACAAAACCATAACATAAACCAGTAACAAGCACCACAAACCAGATTTACATTTATAAAAAAACACAGAATAAACACATACATACACACAAGCACAAAAAAATGAACTTCTTAGCAAGAAAGACTCCATTTTTTTCAAAATTCTGAAAATGAAAAAAAGTAGTTTAAAAGAATCAGATATTACCAGCACAAAATTGTTGTTACAACCAGGCCGATGTGGAGCTACATTATCTTGATGAACTATATCACCTCCAATAACCAAAACACAAGAATTCAGCAAAACAACAGCAAAAACTACACAAAAACAACAAGAAAAAACTCCTCTTTTGAACCCCATTTACTCCAAATTTCAAAAAAAAAAATTCTCAATCTTGAAAATTAAAGTCAATGGGTGAATTGGGTGTTTGTTATTTTTCTTTTTTGTGATGAAAATATGAATTTGAAGAGTGAAGGAAGTGGAGATATGTATGAAAAAAAAAAAAGGAAGGAAGAAAGAAATATAGTCAAGTTTTATTTTTAATTTATTAATTTAGTCAATAAGGCATTGTTTGGGTGTTGTTACTTTTTCTGCTAATTTACAAGTACATGTACGACTGGCTTGTAACCGTTGATTTAGTCAATTAAAAATTTAAGATTTATGGATTTCCCACACGCGTTGTTAACGAGTGGTTGACACGTTCTTCAAGTTTATTGACTCTTTCTGAATGCAATTATTATTAATAGTTTATTACGTCACCATTTTAGATTTCACGTTTCTTAAAAAAAAATTAAATAGCTTTGTTATTAACTTATTTAGTCTTTTCTTATAGTCAAATTTTTAATTTTTATGTTCAGAAATATATATATTCAAGGTTAATAATTTTTAAAGGTTAAAATAAAAAGAGTGTCATTTATGTCTCGATTTTGTGAAAGGACAAATATTTTTTTATCGCTAATTACATATTTATTTTTCAATTGACACACATATTAAGAAAAATAATGATATACATAGTAAGTTGACCACTTTACCTCTATTATAATTATGAATGGGATAAATTAAAATTTTAAAATTTTCAAAAAAATTTATTTTTTAAAAAGAAATAATTAATTGAAGGTATAATAAGTAAAAAATTGTCATTTCTTAATTTGTCCAAATGGATTAATAATTAGGAACAGGGTGAGTGATTAGTTTTTCTATATTGCGAAAATGTACATTTTCAACGCTAATAACTTTCAAAGGATAAATAAGAAGAATAGTGACATTTATGCAATGATTATGTAAAATGACAAATATTATACACCATCTATTTTTACTTTTTTAGTAAGGAATATATATAAATAAAAATGGAGGATTACTTTTTATGTTTTCCAATTTTTTTAAATTTAATTTGACTTGATACAAAATTTTAGAAAGATTTTTTTTTAAAAAAAAACCTTTTGATCTAAAATAAATCATTTGTTCGTAAGTCATTCATTATAAAATAGATATTTTAAAATTAAATTATTACCAAATATAAAAATACGTCACTCTATTAAAATTAACTAGAAAGAAAGGTAAATCATATAAATTGAAACTAAAAAATAATAATTAATATCACTGTTTGATAATGGGATTGCTCGATACGATAAGCACCCCTACGTCTAACCCTAAGATGGTGAATTTTACCATCCCAAAATTTGATGTTAATTGATGTATATGCTTTAAATCTTATGAAATAATTTCAGGAGTAAGAAATTAATACTTAAAAATAAAATCTAAAAGAAAATTAATATATTAAATAACAAATAAAAAAATTATTTTAATTATAAAATAATAGAGGAATAAAAATAAACTCTAGCAAGTATTATTATGGATACAATAAAAGAAGCTTTTACCATCCTAAATTTGATGTTAATTGATGTATGCTTTTAAATCTTAGTGAAATAATTTGAGGAGTAAGAAACTAATACTAAAAATAAAATTTAAAAGAGAATTAATATACTAAAATAACAAATAAAAATAAAATTTTATTTTAATTTTAAAATAATAGAGGAATAAAAATAAGTAGAAGGAAATATTATTATGGATATATAATAAAAGAAGCTTTCATTTATTGAACTTTAGTGTAATCTCTATTTAGTATTTTGTTAAATCTCATGACAACAAATTTGGAGGTGAGAGTGACATAGCTTTTATCCTTTTTCGGTGGGGAATACTTTTTTGGCTAAATACACGTATTTGAATTTGACATTATTTTCTATTGTAATTATGATTGAAATATCAAAATATCTAATCAAAAGCAAATTCAAACAAACAAATTTGAAAGATAAAATGTATATTAGTTTAAAAAAAAATAGGAAGAAAGCGTAGAGTTGTTATTCGTAATTCTCTTTCTAGATTCTTTTGATTTAAGCGATCATTTATCGTCAAGTGCGGAGTTAGAATATTTATTTTAATTTATTTTCTCAAATAAGTAATTATAATTTAAAAAGTTAAAAATGTTTTTTTATGCATATATAATAGCTGTTAGATATTTTGAGCACTTTTAGTAAAAAATTTGCTCAATAAATGCTTATCGTGTGTCAATAAAAATCATAGCGAAGTGATAAGTACTTCTTTCTTGTTAATCAAATATTTCGAGTTTGAATCTTCCTATATATGAATTCGTTGCTTTATCCTCGATATAGAATTTTCTAAAGCAAATTTAAATTTAATTAAATTTCAATGCAGTATGACACGAAAAAATAATGCTCCTTGCATGATTAGATTTCTGTCTTTCAAAATCAACTTTAAAATTATGATAGCCTAGTGTTGATCTTTAGCTCTCACACGTAATTAACAAATCCTAACAATCCTATAATCTATCTCAATAATATGACCTCTCCGATAGTTATGGTGTATATATATATATACAAAATTTAAAAGATATAATAATATATATTATTAATTATATTATATAATATGAATATGAATCTTAATTTTACTATATTGTAAATTTGATACAGAGTCTAAATAAACTTTTTGAGCTTGCAAATTTTGCTCACTCTTTTTTATCTTGAAGATTTTCTCATCGGTTTACAACTTTCATGAATAAAACAATTTTATAAATATTATCTTTGCTAGAAAATATTTTCTGTATCAATATCTCGTGACTTAAGCTATGTTAAATTTTTATCCTCATTTCTTCTATAAACATATTATTCTTTGATTACTTTGAATAGTCAATAAAAATATATTTCTTTTCGCTAAGACTAAATTTCCCATAAGAAAAAGAATTATGCATATATATCATAGACTCCCAATATTGCAATATTTTATAAGTCATAATTTTTACTTGTCCATGCTTTTTAGGATGTGAAAATTAAAAAAAAAAAAAACTTAGAAAACAAACAATTACATCAAAAACAAAATTATCTTGCTAAAAGAGTATATGAAATTGTTAATTGTTGTTTGTACAATTCATTTTTTATCACAGGAATTCTTATATTGATCTAATAGATATTCATGTCTACGACCAATTTTTAAAACTTTTATTCTTAAGTTTAATTGATTCACCCATCAAATTCATAAATCGTCTAAAGCATTTTAATGCTTCTGTTTTATGGGAGACCAAATAAACGTGATTATGACGAGTATAATTATTTATAAATGTCATATAAATGAATTTCATGTATCACACTCGCACTTATTTGAACACATATATTCAAATGAATGAGTTGCAAGTGATATTCAATTTTAGTTTTCTTTTCAAATCGTCTTTTAGTTATTTTTTCTGCTAGACAATGTCTATATATTGACATTTTAATTTTAGTTAAGGACTCCAAAATTCTTCTTTTGATAATTCATTATTTTGCAAGACCTATACATTCAAGTTTAGCATGTTAAATTTATATTTAAAATAGGAGTTGTTGTTAAAGCAAAACAATCATGATTATTAGATGATATAATTAAAATCATAAATTGTTGCCAACACAATAAAATAATTAAAAAGGTAATATGAATCATAATATTTGGTGCTATAAAACAATGCCAACAGCATTATTGTAAAATTTACATTGAAATTTAATTTGCATGTTCTGATCTCTTTCACTTCAATTGATACATTATTACCACATTTAGTTCTCACATCATGTTTGACATCTTTCTTAAATTTTGTCTTATCGATAAAAATTAGGACGTAATTTATAAGTGTCAAATTGATAGTCAACCTCCTAAATATTGTTTCAAAAGTGTCACCAAACTTATTTTTCAGTGCAATTTATATGACTTGAGTCGTTAGAAAAGATAAATATCACGATTATTATCATTCAATTTTTTTACCCTGGTTCAATTCATAATAATAATTTTTAAGTCATTTTATAAATTTATTGTTGAATGCCTTGAATCGGACCCGTTACAACAGAAAGGACGGGGGTCTGTTAGGGCGTAGCTTATCACTATATATAGACGCTAAGGCAAACCCTATTTTGTATTCTGTTTTTTGCCTCTCCATAATAAAACTGCTCCCTCTCTTCCCCGTGGACGTAGTCAATTTATTGGTGAACCACGTAAATCTGTTGTCTTATTTTTCGCATTTATATTTTCTCGTATTATCTCGAATTCCACACATCAAATTGGTATCAGAGCCTCTCGGTTAATCGGTGTTTTTTGGATAATTCGAGATGTCTGTTTTGAACGTGAAAATCGACAAATTCACAGGGAGGAACAGTTTCAGTTTATGGCAGATCAAGATGCGGGCTTTGTTGAAACAACAAGACTTCTGGGCACCGTTGTCGAAAGACAAGAACGCTGTCGTTACTCCTGAGATGGCGATTCTGGAGGAAAAGGCGCACTCGACGATCTTGCTGTGTCTCGTGGATGACGTCATCATGGAGGTCTCGGATGAAGAGACTGCTGCTGGTCTGTGGTTGAAGCTGGAGAGTTTGTACATGACAAAATCTCTAACCAACAAGCTGCTTCTGAAACAGCGTCTATTCGGTTTACGAATGGCTGAAGGTACACAACTCAGAGAACATTTAGAGCAATTGAATACTTTGTTACTAGAATTGCGTAATATCGATGTGAAGATCGAGGATGAAGATGCTGCCCTGATTCTGTTAGTATCTCTCCCAATGTGGCTTGAGAATTTTGTTCAATCGTTCATTGTTGGGAAAGATACTGTGTCGCTGGAAGAAGTCAGATCGGCCCTTCATAGCAGAGAATTACGGCATTAGGCTAACGGCACAAGTACAGACATACAGCCTTCCGGTCTGTTCACCAGCAGCGAAAAGGAAAGGAAAAACGGCGAAAAGAAAAAGAAGCCGATGTTGAAGGGTGCAAAGCCGGATGATGTTTGTAATTACTGCAAGGAGAAGGGACACTGGAAATTTGATTGTCCGAAGAAGAAGAAGCAATCGGAAAAACAATCAGTTTCTGCTGCTGTTGATGAAGAAGACACCAATTCTGAAGAAGACATTGCCCTAGTCGCGGATGAGCACACTCATCATTCAGATGTGTGGGTTCTCGATTCTGGGGC